ATTTCTTGGCATAAATGAGTAAGTGCTTCTAGTGCTGCATCTATTTGTTAAACATCTCAACAGGCACTTCATCAATACCTGGAGCCTGTTTTTTTTTTTTTTTTTTTGCCAATCCTTCAGTGCAGTTTGGACTTCTTCCTTCAATACTGTTGGTGCTTGATCATATGCTATCTCCTGGAATAGTTGGACATTGACCAATTCTTTTTGATACAGTGATTGATTGTGGATCCAAGTAAAATGAAATCCCTGACAACATCAAACTTTCATCCATTAATCATGATGTTGATTATTGGTCCAATTGTGAAGATTTTCATGTTCCATATGTTGAGGTAAAATCCATATTGAAGACTATATTCTTTAATCTTCATCAGTAAGTGCTTCAAGTCCTCTTCACTTTCAGCAACCAAGATTGAGTCATCTGCACATCACAGGTTGTTAATGAGTCTTCCTCCAATCTTGGTGCCGTGTTCTTCTTCATATAGTCCAGCTTTTCAGTTTATTTCCTCAGCATACAGATTGAATAAGGATGATTGGATACAACCCTGATGTACACCACTCATGATTTTAAACCATTCAGAGTTCTCTTGTTCTTTCTGAATGACAGTCTCTTGATGTATGTACAGGTTCCTCATGAGCATACTAAGATATTCTGGAGTTCCTATTCTTCACAATGTTATCCATAATTGTTAGGATCCATACTGCCAAATGTCTTTGCACTGTCAATAAAACAAAGGTGAACATCTTTCTGTTATTCTTTACTTTCAGCCAAGATCTATCTGACATCAGCAATGATATCCTTCCTACTGTGTCCTCTTCTGAATCCAGCTTGAATTTCTGGAAATTCTATGCCAATATACTATTGCAACAATTATTTAATTATTTTCAGCTAAATTTTACTTACATGTGGTATTAATGATACTGTTCAATAATTGGCACATTCTGTTGGATCAACTTTCTTTGGAATGAGCACAAATAGCAATCTCTTCAGTAAAGCTGGCCAGGTGGCTGGCTGCTTTCAAAACTTCTCAGCATAAATGAGTAAATCCTTCTAGGACTGCATCTGTTTGTTGAAACATTTCAGTGGGTAT